GACGAAAAATGTTGAGTGCATATGTCCTCCTCCTATGTGAAGATGGGACTCACTCCACTACTCACTCAACGTGCAAAATAAGAATGAATCTTCTGCTAGAACACAGAAAAATACAACGCTATTTTTTTTATTTTATTTTTTTTCGATGGACCACGAATCAGATATTAAACTGATCAGAACAGATACTACACTTGATCTTAGCCAAAAGGCCGAAAAAGGTATGTCATTTTTTATTTTCTTCTCCAACTTTGCTTGGACAAGAACAGAGGCCGGTGTGACGAACCATTTTTCTGTAATTGCGCGACTTTTTGTGCGAAGCTGCCTGGGGAAATGAGACGGGTCGGATGGGTGAGTTGCGGGAAGATGGGTTGGTCGGGCTGATTGTGTGGATGCCCTCGTTTCTTTTTGTTTTCCGTGGAAATTTGTCGGGTCGGTGTTGGGAAAGTCCCGAGCTGACGATTGGGTAGTCGCGCCTTAGCGAGCGCGATGGACAACGGTTGTCATGGCTTCTTTCTTGTTTTGTTGTGAGCACTAGGAATTTTGGCGCGATCATCGCTCGGGAATATCGTTTTTGAATTTTTAACTTATGTCAAGCTCCCACGGGCTCGCGGAATCGTTTTTGGGCTCTTCGAAATTTCCTTATTGCAATTAGGACTTAGGCTAGGAATTTATGTACTCTGAATTTTGTTGCACCACGCTTCTCACTCGCACACATCTTGCAACACTAGGAACTGGGCTCTGATTGGATCGCGCCCTTCATCTTGTTTAACTGTCATTTTTGGTGGGCACGATTGTAACTGTATCTTTCTTCTTTCTTGGTTTCCTCGATGTTTGCCCGCCTTCTCATTCTTCCTCGCCGTGCATACTCTGCTCTAATTGGTCTGAGCGCCTGCATGATCGGATCGATGCGTGGAGTGTGGCTACGACCCCCACGTCACGGCCTGGCCATGTAGACGTAGGCTCTCCTCCCGACCACTTGGGCTTAATCCCGTACCTTTCGCGTGGGCATGCATGCTATAAATTTTGCAAGCGTGATTAGTTTGCTCTCTAAGAACCTTGGAGTTAGCGTGATCAGTGAGGGTCGGCTAACGAGTCAGCTTGAGAGGTGAGTCGACGAGAGATTTGGGCGATCCGACGAGCTGGTGTTGGGTATGCGGGGTTGACGTGCGGGGCCGCGACGGACTGTGGCGCACAGGCGAACTTGGCTTGCATGCTCGAACCAAGCGGGGTGACAACTTTGATATGGTGCGAGGCAACGAACAGCCTGCACCGGGAGTGGAGGGAGAGAGAGAGAGAGAGAGAGAGAGAGAGAGAGAGAGAGAGAGCCGCTGTGGGTATAGGATAAGGTTCTTTCCTTTGTTTATCTGTATAATTTTGGCTCCTGATATGGCCGATTTTATTGCGGCCTTTTCGGACTTTTCTTTGTAAATCATCTCGGATTTTCTTTGTCGTTTTTGCCTCATGTGTATGCATGGAATGGATGTGAACTCTTTTCCGTTAATGATCTTTTTGGATTTCCAATCTTGTTTTGCGATGCCTGTTTAATTCGAATTTCGTCACCTTCTATTATCCATCTGCATGAGCAATACTCTCAGATCTGATTGGAAGCACTCACTATGAATGTTTGGGTTTAATCGTTAGTCTTTGATCGTCATTGGATCACCGAGAATGCTGTGAGGAGTTGATTGTCCTTTCCCCCTTTTCTCTCTTTTTCGTCATATGAATGACATGGCTATGAATGCAATGTCTTGATCTCACCCAATATAGCATGAGTAGGATAGTTGCATGCAGGACGAACGCAATCGGTACACTGAACCAAGGACCGATCCGCTCTCGCTCATGTGCACGCTCACGTACGACCGCGATCTTGAGAAAACCAACTTGAAGTCGCAGCGTACGCGCGCGTCTGCATGAGTCGACCTCGAACTCATCATAAGGATGCAGGAAACTGAACTTCCTAGCCGGATATGGCTGTAGAAATTCCCTTTTGGATCACCGATCATGAGAGTCTGAGGGATCCGGAGTATCGCGAGTACTCGGAAGGTGAGCAACTCAAACGACGGGGAAACTTAAGAAACCCGAAATTCCCCTGTCTGACGGAGAATGACCGACTGTGCGAGGGGGACTTCCGCTGGGCCATAACCAGCGATCCTAGGGGCCCAAACTATCCAGACACTGACAACACTCAATACTACATATCTCCGGGCTTCGCTGTGATTAATACCAGTTTCCCTCCCTTCCATCTCCTCCTTCCCTATCACCTGCTCACACCATAGCTCGCTATTGGCCCCGCCCATCGTACGAGGAGTGCCAGCGATACCAGGCGTACCGAGCCTCGGGATTTATCCGACGAACCCGAACCGTAGCCGAGCAGCGATTACGCAGCCTCCGCTTGCGGCTAGCCTCGTTGGATTCCGAAGCTTGTTACGAGCGGCGCCGACAGCTGTTCGCCCAACGCGACAGCCATAGTGTCCCACCGGTCCACCAGATAAGGGACCGGCCGCGGCGACGCAACTGGCAGAGACCATAGCCCCATCCCCGAAGACTGAAACGTCGGATACGATCTCCGCGTACCATCTTGCACCGTTGTTCCTAAACTTGCCACCGGAGATCTCAGTTCCGACCTGGGACTCCAACCCCACTTTCCTAAAATCCTTGGCACACCCCTTTTTTGCACTTCCGGGCCCCCATCCCACTCCGATCATGAAGTCGTGTTGGGCATGAGGTTGGGCGTCACACCAGGGACCTCACAAATCAACCCGGATTGCTGAAAAACAAATCCAGCATCCTATCTTGGGGCTAGGTCCCACTTGCACGAATTAAGAGATACTGACCGTAGATAGCAAAGATCAACAGCCCAAATCTCCTAATTTGCGCAAGTGGGACCTTGCCCTTGGGGTATCAGACTGGAAAGCAGATCCAGTGTCCTCAGAAGAAGAGATAGAAAACTGGCTGGAAACCAGGTCCAGCGTCCTTTCCAAAAAAATACTTCTAGTAATTCTAGCATCTCTGCATATGACGGAAGAAAATCAGGTCCGGCGTCCCTTTTTAGATTCAATGACATAACTTTCTGATAGCCTTATGCGTTCTGCTGCTCAGTGCCCTTATGAGTCTTGTGCATCTGGAGAGTAGTGGAGTGAGGGCCTCGTTCGGCACCACTTGAAAATACTTGAGTTTCAAGGGCACCCTAGCTCACGGAAGATGATTAATTTCCCATAACTTGTTTTTCCGTTCCACAACCCCTTGACGAAACCATTGTGACGGCCGTCCTTCAAACTGAAGTGCCGACGACATTTCATCAGAAACAGTGGTGATTGGTGGAGAAAAAAAGAAAAGGGTCCGTATATTCCCTGTTTTGAAGGGTGAAACCCTTGTGATCCAAGTAACCTCCCGAGGCACCCTCGGGATTTTCGTCGATTTGCCTGGGCCGCACTTCCGTTTCAAGGGCGGACACTTGGCCGCGGGGATGTGGAAACAATTAGCGACTTCAGGGGTGCGTGATTAGGGCGGGATCGAATGATGCTTCCTTGAAAAACAACAATTTCCAAGTGGTGTTGAACGAGGCCCTGAGACCTTTTCTGGTGCACTTTGAATTTCGCGCGTTTGGAGAGTGGCGAAGGGGGGGCCCTATTACCGCTTTTATCCAGCAGCCTAGCTAAGTTGGTAAGGCACGCAAGTGGCATTTAGGAGGTCTTGGGTTCAATCCCCATTGGCCTCATGTACCTTCATGGGCAAGCTTGGCGCCTGCCACCTAGAGAGATGCCGTTGGTCCCCCCGAGTGGCATTGAGCAGAGACTGCTGATGTTCATAGGGGGAGGGGACCAGAGGGGAGGCACAGTGACTGACCCATCGAAGAAGCTCGGTCCTGATGCTACCGGCTGACCCCTGGCCTGTATCGCCCACCTGCTGCAGCAGGTATCGTGGTGGGTGCAGCTCCCGCATGTCCCCTTGTTGGAGGCCGTCCTGTCCAGATTTGACAGGTAATAGAATTAGCCTTTAAAAAAATAAAAAAATAAAAAATTACCATTTTTCTCTCCTTTTTCTTTTTTCCCTCCAAATTCAAATACCACTCTTCTCTTCTTTTCCCCCCACTTTTTTATTTTTTTCCCTCTTAGAAAAAGACGACGGCCTTGGGCATGGTTCCACTAGCACACGAGTCATGGCCTTTTTTTTTTTTTTTTTTTTTTTTTTTTTTTTTATTATTTTTTTTATTATTATTATTATTATAATTATTTTTTTAGATTCAATCATAGATCAGGGCAAGGTCCTCTACTCCTTAGGTTACAATTCCCCCAGTGGGTAGAAGCCGGTGAGGTTCCGATGGCTCCTTTCTATTGGTGGGGAGCTGCACCTGCTGGAAACCGGGTCTAGCGTCCCTTCCAATG